CAAGTTCTGGTTCTGGTTCTGGTTGTGATTCTGATTCTCATTCTGTTGCCGTTTCTGTTTCAGATTCTGTTTCTGTTTTGCTTGGAATCGTGAGCGACACTTGATGCGTCCAGCAACTTGGACAGCAGAGGAGGCCGGGCCAGGGCGTGGCACACAGCTCAGTTAAATGCAATTTACTTAATGCCAGCACCGCTGTCGCCTCCTACCCCTGCTCTGTCTGCTTATTACTTCATAAGTTTTATTATTGCCAGCGAATGAAGCAGTTGAGCTTGTCGAGCTTGTACATAATTGGAAAGAAAACCCGTTGAAATTGAAGCAGCAGCAACAACAACAATAACTAATAGTAATTAACGATAGTTAAACACAGCACTGAGAACAACAACAACTAACAATGTTAGCAGCAACCGACTGCATAATACTCGCTCGTGTTGCAAGACGTAGAAAGCTATAGTTCAGTAGGCGAGATCAGCTGTGTTCGAACTGGTCAAAGCTCTATAAATTCTGCATTTTGTTGACCAACTTTTACTGCTCAGCCGCACTACTATTTTTATGAACAAGGCCGTATATTTATTTATCTATGTATCTATAACTGTTCAACAGTTGTTGCTGATATATCTATATCTAACTATGTCTATTGCTATCTATCTATCACTTTATCTAGCTATTTATTACTGCACAAAAGTTGATAAGGATATAGGCCTTTCGCTTGATCACACCTTCATATATATATCCTCTAAAGAAGCTTAACTATAAGAAGCTATTCAACTTGCTGGATGCTGGCTAAAAACCTTTATTTTTATCTAAATTCCTGAGGCAATTCCGACTCTTTGCTCTAGCTTTAAGAACGCCTTACCTACAACAGATGTGCCACGCCCACAAATGTCATATTCCCTGATTTTTTTATTTTTACTAAATTTAAAGTTTCTAGCTTCAATAGCGTCATCCAACAAATGCGAACCTAGCACAAAGCCAATATACTTCATTAACTTCAAAAGCTAGCATCAAAAGTTGCCACAACAACAGCCTTGACAAAGAGAGAGGTAGAGAATGGGCGAGTAAGCGAGGCAGCAACAAACAGTTGCCAAATGGCAGCTCGTCGCAACTTCTGTGTGACATTCTTAAGTTAGCTTTGCTTGTGCAGCAAGTTGCATCCGCAGCTGTTGCTGCAACTGTTCAATAATGCAATGAAAACATTTAAGTTGCAGCAACTGGGCGAGTTAACCGCCCTGCTTGCTGCTGCCTTACATCGCAAAGAGTTTCTCAATTGCAAAATTTATGAGCTGCATTCGCTGACAAAATCGTGTGGAAAATAACAATGCAATTTCCAAAAGCTTCTGCTAGAGTTGTCGCCCACAGGGTTGTCACTAGCAGCAGCAGCAATATTGCATTTCCAATTGCAATATTTCTTATATATTTATTTGTTCAAGTTTTGTGACTGACAAACGAGGCAGAGCCCAACTTGAGCTGCAAACTTCAAATGTTGGTTACCAGGCGCTTTGTCAAGCAGTTTGCCAGGCACAATGCAAAAAAAGCGTTTACAGCATGCGCGATTGAACAGGCAATATATATATATATATAAAGTTTGTTAGCTTAAAATTTTTTTTATATGTAATTTCAAGTTACTGCAATTTGGTTTACCAGCTAAGACTAACTACTAAAAAATACCTAATAGAAATGCTTATGAATGAGTAAGAAATCAAACTTATTAGCCTTTAAAATTAAGTTTTTATAGCTTCATTTTTTGTTAGCCTAGAAACTGGAATATCGTTTTCAAATGTGACCCTATTGCATATTAGGCAATCAATAGCTGTTGCCAAATATGGTCACACTCAATACTAATCTAAATGCTGCCCATTAGCTCAGACTCCCTCTTTCGCTCTTTCTCTATTCGTTTAACAGCTGTTTTTAGCTATTTCTGGCTTGGCTCACATAAAGCGGTTTTTTCTGAAGACAAAGCTAAAACTTGTTTCTGAAACGCGAATATCAAGAGTAGGCACTAAAACAACAACAACAACAACAACATTGACTTGTGGGCGTTGCGAGACAATTAGCCGCATGCCGCAACCCGAAACGAGTTTTGGTGAGTCAACAGCGACAGCAACTATTCGCTATACGGAATCACTGTGGCGCCCCAAACCAAGCATGACAGAAAAAAATGGAAGGCCAGCTAGCGCTTAGCCTGATCAACTAGTTGATACTCCTTAAACAAAGCGTAGAGCGTGCTTTGGCGAAATGGAAAATACTATTTGAAATTTTGAAATTGAAGAGACACTAAAGCTTTGCATAAATATGTAAATCATGCTTGAACTCTAAACTATTATATAGCATCTATATACAAAAATATAAACTAAATAGAGCACTAAATCTAAATCAATAACTAAAAACTATTCTATTTAAATTGTGCTGCAGAATTTACATAGAATCCATACGTATTGTAGAGCCAAATTTCAAATAAATATAAATATAAATTCAAATAAAAAATTAAATATTAAAACTCTTCAAAGTAAAACATATACTTTAAAGTCAACCAAACAATTGATTGAACTTCAATAAGGAAGAGTTAACAGAAAACAAAAAAGTAATAAATATAGAGGAAATCTTTATGCTAACTAACTAACTAATAGATAGATAATAAACTTGGCAATATTTAAGGATTTTAAGCTGAGTAAACTCTCAGCTCTATATAACTACTTTTAAGAGAATTATGTCAAAAGTTGGCAAAATTAAAAAAATATTTTTTAAACAAATTTAACTTAGTTTTTGGCTTTCTAACTTCACTTATATTCAGCAACAAGATGTTGTCTGCGCCTAAACGCACTAAGTTCAAGGTTCGAACTCTACTTAATTCATAAAAATGTTATAGTATATGCTTAAAATTCTTTTAAATTCCCAACAAATTGCCAAATGTAGCTTCTTTTTTTTAAAGGAACTATTCAAACTACCCATGTACAACTCTTTACCAATGTATATACTACATTAGCTTTGATAAATTTTTATTAAAGTTGTGTTTTAATGAAAAGCAAATCAAAGAGGAAATATTTATAAATTTTCTATTTCTATTTCTTATAAATCGTTTATCTATAGTTATATAACATTTATAAATATATTCCGTTCCCCTTTCAGTTTGTTTTGAGCACAACACGACTTTAATATACCTCACCTCTAGCTCACTGCAGCTACAGGGTAAACTCAAACAAGAACTATGGAATTTCAGCGAGGCAAATACAAAATATTCCACCAAAAAGTGCAGTTAACAGTTGAGTGAATGAGAGTGGGAGAGGGAGGAGTGGGGGCACTGCAATTGCATTGGCTAACAGACGTATTAGCGTGCATATTGTGGATTATACACCATTTATTTCATCTTTCGACTGTCTGTCTGTGCGCCTTGCCAGCTGTCAGTCAGAGTCAGTTTCAGCTGCTGCATTCAATTACCAAGGGGGTAGCCGCTGCCGCTGCCGCTGCTGCTCTGCTGTTTGACCATTAAATGCTTTGGCAAATGATTCAACATTCGCAGCAAACATTTGTTTTCCAATTGCTCGTGTTTTCACAGTTTTCCATGCGTTTGACGCACTGTTTGGCAGCTTTGACAGCTCCGTGCATAACTGCGGACGTAAGTTCTAATAATATTTCGGCTGTTGCCTCAATTTTGTGCTTTCGTTGCCTATTGGTGTTTGCACGTGCCGCAAATGTGTTTAAGGCAGCAACTTTTTGCAACTAGATTCAAATTTCCATAGAAATTTCGCAACTTTTGCTTTGGCCAAGCTAGCTTTATGGCTTGCTCGCTGAAGCTAATAAAGTTTACCCAAATTGCGCTTTGGCTTTAAATATTTTCTCATTTGCAATGGCTACAAATAAACTACTTACAATTTATGAAACTTGGCGAACGAAAAGTTAAAGTTGAAGCATATCTTAGATAAATAAAGCTTAATAAATTGTTTTCAAATATAAAGAATATGATCTATCTAGAAATAGCTCAGCTGAAGAGAAAGAATGCTCAAGCTGCAGCTTTAGGTTCAATCGAATACAACGTCTGTCTGTAGAACGTTTACGAAAGCGACACAAAGCAGAATTGAGCAAATATAAGGCTCTTCTGAGAGTAGACAAGAGGGAGGAGTAATAAGGAGTAATTTCAGAAGTATATGAGAAAGGCAGAGATGCAGCCAGCGAGTAGAGAACAGAGAGAGAAGGGCTTACTTCGACTGAGTCTTCTCTCTCTCTGATCTCTGAGGAAGAAAGAGCTCGATTGATTTCGCAATGAAGCTTCCGCTTAAGAAAGAAATGACTACAAAATCTGATAATGCAATACAAAGAAGCATCGAGAGAAGTACGCTCTTCAGACCTTAATTGATACAAAGAAAAAATGAGCCAACACTCGAACTCAAATTAAAACTTGAATGCCAGGAAATGCATTTTATAAAGCTGGAGAACATAAAGTACACTCGCTGCCTATATAAATATTGAATCACAATTCACACAAAGCACACACAGCTAAGAGGCTTGTTTTGCATATATCCAAGGTAATCTTTATGCATCTAATTTATAAGCTTATTCTTTGTTGCCACGCTCAAGCGCGCAGTTTCTCAGCGTTTGAGAATTATAGATATATATATATATATATGTTTATATATATATATATTGTGCATGATTCATGCGCGACATTTTCTCATTGCTCAATGCAACGCCCAACTTTATGTAGCCATTGTAAAAATTATATATATATATATATGTATATATATAAAATTTATACATAAGTCCATTGTATGGCGCGCTGCACCCACACGCAGACAACGCTCTGTTGGGCTTCTGTCAGCTTGGCTTTTTTTCGTGCTTTTCGTGCTGCCCATTTATGGTTAGCTTTTGTTGTTGATTTATTGTAGTTTAGCTTTTGTTTGTTTAGAGTTGGTTGGATTAATAAATATTTTGTTGTTTGGGGTTGGACAAAGTTTAAAGTGCCCTTAGATGTAATTTATCGATTGCATTTATCGATAACTTCTACTCACTTAATCTGCCAAAGCTGTGCGATAGCCTCTTCTTGAGCTTCTGCAGGGCGCCGCCTTTTTTCTCCCGCATTGTGACGCCTGTAAAGGAAAATGTGAAAAATTGTGGAAAAACTTTAGTATTTTGCCCATTGATTGATATTCTTAAAGTTGTGGATAGAGAGATGGCTTTGTTTTTATTACGCAATGCCCTCGCGCTTACAATTATAAAACAAAACACGCAGCGCAGCGAACAACAACACGAAAGTTGACATTACAAATTAACATAAATCAGTGGAGCGTGGTGTGCCATAATAATAAATAGATAAGTAGGGAGCGACTGGAGGGACTGGAGACACGCACATTTCCAAATGAAAAGCCAATTTACAATGTAAAATTCAAATGAAAAACTACTTCAAAATAGAAATGCATTTTGTTGACGGCTCTATAGACTCCAATAGGGTGGGGCGTGGGGCGCCTGCTGTTTGTATTTATAGTCAAGCAACTCACACACTCTCTTTACATATATATCTCTCTCTCTATATATATATTTGTGTGCATTCGTAATTGAGTTATATAATTTGGTTGTTGTTTGACCATTGTAACATTTAACCAACTTATTTCAGCGTCCAGTGAGCCATGCAAATTGTGTAAAACTTTTTTTATTTTAACCACATCTGTTTAAAGGGCGCAATTGTTGTTGCTGCTGTTGCTGTTGTCTCAGCTGTTTGCTATTGTTTATTATGGCTGGCGCTATTTAGCTGGCTCGTTGATTGGCATAATGATTCGGTTAGCACAGTTAAACTAACTGTATTATAGATTCATTCATTTGCATGTGCACAATCGACTGGTTATCCAATCAACATGTCAAGTGCTTTTGCCAAAGTCAATTTATAAATTATATATTTTGATATTTGTTTTATTTATGCACAATTATTAACAACTTTTCCGCTTAAATGTGAGCCGAAATTATAGCAAATTCAATTTAAATTTAAATATATACATGTGTATATAAGTCTATGCCATAAGCAGTCTTAGTTTATGATTTGGCTTTGCTTAACTTCTTCCATTTTCTCCATTTTTAAACTTTACTTTTTTCAGCATTACTCGAGAACTTTAAAAGATAAAAATATAAATTTTGGCACGTAGCTTTACATAAACATGCCATACATAAAAAACATTTCAACTCTCTAATTACTATTGCCTTACATGCTTTAAGCTAAGATGCGCGATATGTGTAAGAAAATTTTATTTAAATTTAATTTAAATTTGAATGTAGAATTAATTGAGCTTTTAGTAAGTAAAAAAATTGTTCTGCTTGATTAAGTTTCTGTAGTTTCTACAGAGTTATATTTGTTTAATATTAAGAACCAGAGAATCATGAAACCTTTCGAATGTATCTTAAAGTTAAGTTCGAATGCAAACAACTTTTAATGTTAGATTCAACAACAATTTTAAGCAATTCGAGTCAAGATTGAAGTTTCTAAATACTGGAGAGTGTTCGAGAAGAAATTTGTATACATTCTTTCAAAAAATTTGTGAGAAAAATATATTTGAAAAAAAAAAAAATTATAGGAAGCTATTATAAAATATAATAAATAGAGAAAAAACATAAAGAAAATAGTCTGAATGATGGCAAATGAATCATTCTTATAGAAGTTATGAGAAATCTTAGTATAAAAGCAAATTTTAGCATCTAGTTACTACTTACTTATCCCTAACTACACTATCTACCCACTTATTACTACTTACTACTAAGGCAACCTATGTAAGCCTGAGTTAAAGATCTGACCGTATAGTAGAAGCTGAAATAAAGCTAGAATTAGCTTTTAAATAGCCACTCCTTTGCTTGTACCGGGCATCTTCTAGTCAGGCACTGCCTACAAGCGCACATTTAATACTATTGTTGCACCAGTCATTAGAATTTGAAGTCATGAAATATATTTCAACCTTGTTTTCATATAAGTTTCTATTATAAACATTCAATCGATGCACTTCTCCACATTATGCACACTTCAGTTGGCCCGCTCGGCCAATGGCAACTGGTTTGTACAGTTGGCATTGCTTCATTTGCATGCCGGACAAGTTTTGTCCAGGAAATTGGCACTCGAAAAGTCATTTATCAAAACTCTTCCACTTGAAACATGAGCACCAAAACTTTGGCATTGATGTGAATGATGCCACATAATGCTGCATGCCACGCCGATGGACGATGGACAGCCACCTTGACGGCCCGCCCAATGCCAGCGACAGCAACAATTAAACATAAAAATATACACTTTGTGTAGAATATTTTTACAGTACTAAATCATTGGCTAAGTGACTCTTCAGTGTCGCTCGCCATAACGATAGCCCACTGTTATTGTAGTGTCCATTATTATTATTATTATTATTATTGTTGTTGTTGTCAAAAGCAATTTGGCTTAACAACAATGCAGACAAGTCGAGCGCAAGCAATTTATGCCATCAATTCATAGATAGACTCGATGGATATACATACATGACCATATATGTATGCACGTCTCACGTCTCTCTCATGTCTGTATGCATATCGAGCACTTCAACTCAATTAAAGGCACACTCTCATAGCTATAAGCTCATAGATTGCTAGCGCTGTTGTTGTTGTTGTTGTTCGAAATCATTCAAAATCATAAGCCAAACCACAGCAACTACTGCAAATGAGGGTATTATCCAAGTTGAGCCTGCTCGACTGGAGCATATGCTGCAGCCAGGTGTGTTTAATTCCTTTTGTATATATTTATTTACAAATATTTCAGTTCAGTTCGATTGCTGAAAATCGCATAGAGAGGCGATAGATTGTGTGAATGTGAATAGGAGTTATACAGATATTGAGACTATAAGTGTAAGTGGGCACAAGAACATGAAAAGAGAGAAAGAAAGAAGTAGAAATATGGGAGAGAAAAAAAGCAGAAATAGAAACTATGAAAAAGTAAGCGTAAAAGCTTAAGTAAACTATGATACAAATAAGATAGAAGAGAAGTGAGACTAAGAGAGAGAGAGGATGAAAGAGGCACACAAAGAGACAGAGTGAAAGAGGGAGAAAGAGAGCAAACGATAGAGATAAAGAGAGAGCAAATAATAGAAACAAAAAGAGAGAGCGAACTATGATGATTGACATAGAGAGAGGGAACAAGCGCGATAGAGTTCAGAACAAAGAGAGCTCGAATGAGAGAGATAGAGACGGAAAATGACAAAGCGAACTATAGAGCTAAAGTAAGAGCCAACAATAGAGTTATAGAGAAAGATACAAGACGAATCTATGAAATCATAATATGAAATAGTAGAAGAGGAGAGAGAGGGAGAGGCCAATAGAGCAAAAAAAAAACAGAACTTCATTTAGATATGGTAGCTATATTCAAAGCTGTAAACAACTAAATGTCAATAGATCAAAAACGAACTTGATACCCTCCTCTCAGATGTTCGCCTATTAAAGACCCTCACAAGACTTGCAGCATACCCCAGCCACACACACAATTTTCACGTGGTATAAATTATGATATCAACGAGCAAAACTTACCAACAACAACAACAACGACAGCAGCAGCAATAACAATGCCAATAGCTTGGCTTGTCTCTACGAGTGCTGGCAAACAGATTATGATCCTTTTGGCCTTGGCTTGAATAACGCGAGCGATTGCATACAAATTGCAGGCACTGTTGCTGCCAGCAACTGCAATATGCAAATGCCGAATGTCGAACTGACAAATTGTTCTAGAGCTAGGCATTAGAAGCGAGAGAGCGAGAGACGCGAGAGAGAGAGAGAGAGAATCGACAATTGCATTTGCATTAAATGAGTCGCAGTTGTCGTTGCTTGTTTTTAAAAGCCCATTAAAGTTGTTTGCAAAAAGTTTTTTTTTTCGACTAAAACGGCAAATAAGCAAAATGAGTTGCAACAAGCTGCAAGTGGAAGTTGCAGCTACGTCAAACTTATTTAATTAAGACTGCAAAAGGCGCTGCGAAAACTTTCCGGCAGATGCTTCACTTGCAGTTGTAGCAGCTCGTTGCTGCTGCTAGTTGCATTAATGAGTTGCACGAATACACACAGACACACACACAGACACACACATAGACACAGACACACACACACACACACACGCCCGCACCGCATTCAAATCAAACTTTGCAATTTGGCATCAATGTCAAAAGCAGACGAAAATTGACGAGTTCAATAGCCCTGGCGCCTTGCTCTTAGCACAGACAGCAATCGCTACAGTGATTGACAGCAGTATACGAACCGCTTTTCACAACCAATTAGCGCCACACGAATTTCCCAATTGACCATAATTAACTGCCTGTTAATTACATGCGAATAGCCACTGTACCTTTCAGCCAACAACTCACAATTACAGATTCGACTTAATTACAAGTTTAGCGATTTTTATATATACATATAACGGTTCTTTTGAATTGCTCTATCATTATATATGACTAGACTTGTGTGGAATCTTTTACTTGGAACAACGAAAAATTTGATTTCTGTTTGCTCAATTACATAATTTAGCTTAGCTAATTTAGTCAAATAAAGCGAATCAAATGGAAAATTATTTAACAATTTATAACTGAATAAGTTAGGGAGATATAATATGAGGATGAAAATTAATGAAACTACCTCTTTCTTAATGAATTCCTCTTAAGTTTTTCAGCAAAATTACTAACTAGAAACATAAAGAAAACGCAGCTAGAATCACTGCAAATCTGATGCAATCTATAAGCGCTTAAAGCGCCTTTATACAGTGCATATTACAGGGTATTTAATAGTGTATAATATAGTAACAAGTAGACAGTATATATGGAGTAGTATAAAATATATGAGTTACATATATAGATGCCTCTACTCATATGGAAATATATATTTTTCAGCTAAGTCAATCTATATATACGAGGAGTGCTCAAAAAGTATAGCAAAAGTTGCATTTGCGTGGATTATAAATAGTTAAAATTAGAGTTTTATGTGGCCTCACTTATGTCAAAGAGTTTGATCATTTTGCTATTTTGATTGAAAGTGATTTGCCTACTCCAAGTTGTGAAGCAAGAATTCTCCAACAAATTTAAAGAAAATAACACAAATATTCGATTTACTT